TTCTGTGAAGGAAAAACACAGAGTGTCTGTAACTTAAAGCATTGCCGTCTCTTTGTTAGGGTTGTTTTAACCTGTTTCCACAGTGTCACTTGTCCTGAATAGAAGACGATCCTTGATTCCGCTGGTTTTCCTTATTCTCTTTGCCCTTGGTTCRTATTGAATATTCCTACTTGTGGAAGAACAAGCAATCTCTCTGCTTTTTGGCTTCACATTGTTCCTCCCTTCATCTAAATCATCAAGGAACCTGTCTGCTGCCATGGACACTCCGTCATACTGGTCGGGTGGGATGTCCTCTCCTTCTTGTGTGAAAATCTGTCTGTCTTTCATTTCCCCCTTCATTCTCCCCCATGGAGTCTCAATCCTGGCTGTCTCCACTGTCTTGTCATTTGGTCTTTGGGGGGTAGTTTCCTTTCCTTTCTTCTTTGCCTTTGAATTGTCTTCCTTTTCCAGTTGAACARATTTGTTGTTCAGCTTCCTCTCTCCACACTGGCTAGTTCCATCCTCTCTCCTGCCCTTGGGAAGGGCTGGCCCAGGGATATCCCTTTCCATCTTTTTGTTCTTGAGGCCATCTTCCTACTGGGGAGCTGTGCACTAGTGTTGGTTGTGCTCTCTCCTAAGGGGATTCTTCGATCACATCTTTGAATTCTTGTCTGAATTTCAAGTTATCTTCACTTGCCTCTYTAGCACTGGCCTCGTTTCATCCATGAGTGTGGTCAAGTTATGTTCCATACTCATGTACTTTCCATCTTGTGCCACACCACACTGATGTGCAACTGKGAGACTCTGCAACCATCCATCATCTGTGAACCCTTTCCTCCTTTGTTCCTTTCAAATTATTCTTCAGAAGAGTCTAACTGAATTAGGTACCAAAATTCCATGGACCCTTGCTAGGTGCATCAGTTTATTATACATGTTAGGGAAACAGGAGACTATCACAAGCTGCTAAGCTATCAAAATCCCTGCAACATAATCTGTTGTGGTTGGACATTTTATTGAAATCCTGGATAGTCATTTGCAAAAAAAAAAAAAAAAAGCTGACACGCAGGGTTTGGATTTAATCTTCACATTTCCACTCAAACTGTGGCATTGTTTGAACACAACAGCTTTGGGATCCTGGCAAAAGAGTAAAACTGTCCGAGCTGTTCCACTCTGGTTTGAATTATCTCTCTTTTTATTTATTTATTTCTAGCTTTGAAGTCTGTGTACTTTAAAAATCAATGAACATTATATTAACAAGCAGATACTAATTACATTTTAACAAACTGGAAAAGCATCACTACAAATCTTTGAAAAGAGAGATTCACATTTTAAAAATCTTTCTGATCCAACTGGCATCATTGTAGTAAAACACTGACAAAGCCTGCACAGAATGGAAATGTTAAAGGAATCTGTTTTCCAGAATTTTTTTTTTTATGATTTATAATTAGTCTTCATCATTGTACTGTCTCATAAACTAGTTCTGGTAAACAGAGTACTCGTGACTTTTACAGGATGAATGGAGACATTCTGCAATGTAGAAATTAAAAGATCACTCAGATAATAGCAACACTTAATTCTTGTAGCTCTTCTCATCAGTTCAACTTATTGTTTTACAAGCAAATTAGGATTGCTATCAGAGTTCTGCAGAGGGAAAAAAGTGAGGCAAGGATAATTAATGTGTCTCATCTGCAATTGCTTAGCAGAACAGAGGCAGATCCGAACTGGATCTCCTGTATCCAGTTTAGAGCTCTAATTCTTAGGTTACAGTGGTTCACTGGGCAGTTTTTAAAATATGGGTATTGAAGTGTGCAGTGAGAGTCAGAGAGAGTTCATATCAGGATGTTCAGCACACCAAGAAATGCCAAAATTGTCAATAGTGCTAGAACTATAAAAAATACCTCTCCTCCTCTGGCCACTGTGTCCGTGTGCAGGGCTGCTGGAGCAGCAGCTGCCACATGACAGAGGAGCCCAGCAATGCAKGGAACAGTTTCTGCACAGAGCAGAGCCAAGACATCACGAGCTCTGTGTGATAACAGCAAGAGGGGACACGAGAGGACAYGGTTCCTGTGTCAGAGCAGGCTCCAGGAAACACTCAGGAGAAGCTGTGCTTTTGCAATGTCCCCACTGATTTCATCACTTCTGGGCGTTCCAGAGGTAAACAGACAAGGAACCCACTTCAGACAAAGCTCTCTCAGCACACCAAAGGCAGCCTGTGCCAAGAAACACTCACTCCCTGATGTGCCATGGACCTTGTGGGGTCGTGTTGGATCCCAACAGGCTCAGCAGGCTGTGCTGCACTCGGAACKGTTATGACAGAGACACCAAAGATAMGGGCAGCAAACTTGGTGGCMCATGATGGCAGGAGAGATCAGCTCTGTGCTCCACGAACTGGAAAATACAAATAGTCTGACTCACCCACAGGATACCAGAGCCAGCTCGTRGCCATAGCAAATTCCTAGAGACAAGTTCAATGGAAGTGACAGGAAAGCACCATTGCTCCAAGTCACACACATCCACATTTGTCTGTAACTACAAGGACTTGACTTACTTGTGATTTTCTAGACTTCCTACAAAGTCCTGCTTTCCTGGCTACATCTTCTGGTTGAGCTGACTTGCCAGAAAGAAGCTCATCTGCTGGAGTCACCTACAACCCGYGTCCTTCTGGAGCTGCAAAGAAGAGGACACACTGTCATGCCAGTCCTGGAGCCACCAAAGGTAAGCGTGGCAGAGCAGCACAGCCAGTCCCAGCAGCAGAATCCCAGCAGGGATGCCCAAAAGGCATCCCACCCATCAGTAAATCTGTGCACTCTTGTCATGAAAGCAATCTCTGAGTTATTTCCAGGATCAGCACAGCTCACTACAGCTGGTGGCTCAAGCAGCCCTGCCCACCTCTGCAGCACATGCTGTGGAATTCAGGTGTATTGATAACAATTAACAGTTTTGGGCCTTAGCACAGCATCTGCCACGAGTGCCTCTCTGAAAAGGTTCTATGAATAGAGTGCTACGAATCAGGGTCACCTGCTATGTCACCCTCTCCCCGCTTCATTCTCTCCATAAAAAATCTGGAGTAACAGAAGGGCTGTGATGTCTCTCTTTGCCTCCTTCAAAGTCACTGTTTTGATGTTAAAGAGCACATCTTCCCCTTCTCCACCTAGCTGGTTAAAAAGATTTAACAACTCCTGTAGCACTTGCACAAAAAGTCTCTGCACACAACTGGACCTAGTCCAAGTCTCCAGGTCTACCACATCTCTCCAGATCTTGTGCCACTACAATTATGCTTTTCATTTGACTAGCACATTAGTCCCCTAAATGGATTTATYTTTGCTTCCTTATGTCACTTGTCAGTGACATGCTACATATGTGGAAACACACTCCCCTCTTCAGTAAGTGCTGAGCAACCAGCCTGACTCAGACCCCAACTCCTGCTCCAGTGCTGCTGAACTATTGTTCTGTGTGCTCAGGTGGGTGGTGGTTTTGGGACCATCTTGACAGGTCTGAGGCTCTGCCCCCAAATGGATAAAGTGAGTCCTCATTATSTTGTGACTGATCTGCAGGGAGCACAAACCACCCTGGATGTGTGAGCAAATGAGAGAAACACCTAGATGCTGTTTTTGAAGGCATCTGGAGGCTGGAATGCTCAGCGGCCAATAATGGCATGACATCTGCCATTTCTCAGCTGGTGGTGTGGTTTCTTTAAAATGTGGTCYTGATCTGTGTTTTAAATTGAAGAACAATTAAACTTTATGCACAAATAAAAAGCAGATCATATATTAGAGAATCTCTATTGGATTTCGAAGCAATCTAGAAAGTCCATAAACACCTTTAGTGCAGACTGCTTTTCTTACATCACTATTCCCCATCTCAGTAGGGCAGGGAAATATGCAATGCACCTTCAACCAAACACATTTTGGAAAAAAAAAAAAAAAAGAGAAATTAAAACCCAGCTGAGATCCTACCTTAAATAGATCCACTCCACATCTTGGTCCCCTGTAAGAGCAGCAACTGTGAAACAGTCCAGAGACATCAGCGTTCAAGCCCCTCTGAAATAAATGCAGGCAGCTCACCTCACACTGACAGGTTCTTCTCACAGTTTTACTTGTTTGAAACCAACAGTATTGACTTCAAGGCAAGACTGAACCTGATCTACACTTGCACAAATGGCAGAAYAAGCCCATTCTCAGTTCAACAGCTTGGGCAGCAAGCTGTTCAGACTCAGTTCAGCACAGAAATTTAGCACCATCCACAGAAAACTTTTATTTGAAAAGGAAAGATTGAAGTCTGCAGGAGCTGATGAGGATACCAGGAAAAACAGGCAGTGAGGCAATGCCCAAAAAGCCAGCTGCTGCATTCAGGTCCGCTACAGCTTCCTTTGTGCTTTCCTCCAACAGAAAACGGCAGAACAGAGAGAACAATAGAAAAAGACAGGATATGTGGAGCGGGGGGGAAACCACTTTGACAAGCTTGATAAGCTCAGGAAATGAAAACTATCTAAAAGATCAGGTGGGATAAAGATGCAGGAAAGGGCAAACAGTTCAGATTCTCTGTCAAACAAAAAATCTTGAGTCTTCCCATATCATAAAGGTCAACCAAGATTTCATGTAAGGTAACAGGATGCAGCTTGCCCACAAAAAGTTAGTGTGGTTGTTCTTATGATTCCACTGGATTAAAATAAGACAACTTGAACATTTCTTTCATTTAATGAAGGCAGTTCTTCAAAACCTTCCAAAGCAGTTACAGAGAACTGTATTTCCCAAGAACACGTGTGTCTGAAGATAGAGTACATTCTAGGAAATATGTGATCCTATGCTAGAGCTGCAAATTGCTTAATAGGTGCTCTACCAGCTTTTTACTTACACGAGCTAAAATAGAGTCTTCAAAAGCTGATCAACTCTAAATCTATTAAAATTGATCTAAACCAGGAAAAACACACTGGTGGAAAAGCAAGTGCCAGACTCTAACTAAGCCTCATGGGGAAAATCTAAAAGACTGAAGTTCTTGGGAGTTTTATTATTGCACCAGTGGCACAGGGATTTCTCCCTAACTGTTCCCCAAGCCCAGGGGTAGTCAGTCTGTACTTTCTCTGATGTGTAAGGGATGGAAGAAATCAGAAGAGAACACATAATAAATCAACTGACAGTCTCTAAAAAAATAGCTGTCCTGTCTCCTTAATATGAGTGAGAGTAATGTTCTGAGGGCAGGAAGAATTCAGCTTTAGACCAAAAACCTTCCCCTATYGCGGTACAAAAAGTGATCACTCTGTAGTTTAATGAATCTCAGGCCTCCCTTTGAGGGAAATAGTGTGTTGCCTGCACCAGCACGTGTAATAATGTTTGCTGAATATAAACTATGGCTCTATAGCCCAAGATGGAAGGTCAGAAGTCAGCTGAGGATCTGGCCACAGATGTTCGGCAGGAGAGATCAAAAAGCAATACATCAAATTCAGTACTTTCCCTCAAGGAACGGCTTGCAGAAATTCCTCAACCCATCTCCTTCCACAGTAAGTGCACTCAGCCTGCATATAACAAAACTGTGCACCACGAACTGCCAGGTGACTCCAAGACAAAGTTCATGTTTCCCAAGTTCTCCTTGTCCTGTGCTTGAGTATTTAAATATTTATACAGCGAGTTTGCTCTTATCCACAAACACAGYTCCCTTGAACCTCTGCGGTGCTTTTCAAGCCCATCTACCACAGTGAAGAATCCCATGACACACCCCTTAGTCCTCCCCCAGCCCTTTATATGCATTTCCTAAAGCCTAAAGCCGGCATTTGATATTATGGAATGTGTTGTAATCAATTCTCAAAGTTATAGCACCACTGGATTTTTATTAACTTGCACAACAACGACAACAAAAATCCAACAAAAAATGGGCCCTCATAATSAGTCAGCCTTGTTATATCCTGAAAGCTGCTTTAACAAGCAGGGAGTAATATAGTGTAATTGGTACGCTGCAATTTAATTGTTCTGTTCTTAAATCTAATATTGCAGCTGTGGGTTAAGTTTACACCACAGCTTTCAAGAGAACATGAAAGTGTGGTACATCTGTGCAACAGAAAGCTAAACATCTCTCATCTGATGTGTTTACAATGACATTTGATAGCGTGGAATTGTTTGGAGTTCATTCTTAAAGCTAAAGAACTGCTTTTCAACGCTGTAAAAAAAAAAAAAAAAAARRGGGGAAAAGCCTCCAATCTCCTTCCAGCAACTCAGCCCACACAGGCTTGACGATAATGGTGCTGGCATTGCAGGGAAACTGCCAGCTGGAACAATTCCTTCAGGAAACTTCGAGCATTTGTCACACTGGCAGTGGACAAGGGGACAAGGGCATCTTCCTCCTCAGATGATATAATAATTATTTGAAAAACAAATGACTAAAAAAAAAAAAAAACCCTGGACAGAACAACCCCTGAGAAGCATAAAACAGACAAAAATGTTTCAAGAAATGTTATTACATGGATGATTGTAGCATGGATAGAAATGGTGGAGTTTTCTATTTAACAGGTGGCAGAACTGCTTGTGGTATCTTGAACTTCACATTCTGTATAACAAACAACTTCAGCATTATATACTTGTTAGAGAATTTATTAGGCCCATAAGTAGTTCAAGAAACTTAGGAATGGGACCATAAATGTCATCTGCAGTTTGTGAACKGCAAGTATCTGACTGTTTTGATCAAGGTTTTTACGGGAAAGTTAAATTGTTATTAAAATTATTTACTACTGCTCCACAAAAAGGGAGCAAGCCTGCTGAAGAACTCAGGTAGTGATAAGATGTGATAGGCTGCAGGTCAAATGTGTTGGCAGAAAAGCATTTCTGTTTATGTCTAAGCCCAAATTTTTGTGCAGTTYGAAGCTTAGAGTGCATTTAAGAGGCTGAAAAAATGTTTGTGGAGGGGAGGAGTAATTTTCCCTCTCCCATAGCATCCTGTCAGAAATACMCAATCTCATCAGGCTACTTTTCTTGTTCTCAGCATTAGCCCTTTTCCAACATTTTCTGGCCTTGGAGAAATGCATGGTAGTGCAACTTAGTWAAAGAGGTCACTTCTGCTCATTCCTTTGTAGCTGTCCACACTGGCATCTTGATTTATGCACTTTAACCGACAAAAGTCAATCTCACCGATGAAGCTCAGCTATATTACACTGGAATCTATTAAGTTTTTAAACTTTATTATTTCAGTCACAATTAAGACTATATAAAGCCTCTTCATAAAAAAGGGGCCATATCAAAAGCTGTACGTTAGCAAGTGGATCAACGGATGCATTCATTCTGCATCAAAAATACCGTAAGAAGGACAGATCTCCTGGGGAGGCAAATCTGTATCAATATTTCAGTCTCTTGAACACAGAAATTTGATACAACATGATGCAACACCCAAGCTTCCCCTCCTTTCAATTAACTGAGAAATAAAAATTGTCCTTAGAAGGGAAGAAATGCATTCGTATTGTTTAGTTTTCGGGTTTTCCGCCCTTTCATAGCATCACAATGTTCTCTTCATGGGTRGAAAACTTAATCTTCAAGTTCAAGCATAGATTCTTCATACAGTTCAGGATGAGCTGACTTGGAATACCGGGAATATTTCAGCTGTAGAAAATCACCCARTTCATCCAGAGCATTCAAAACCTGTAAGACCATCGTACTCTGTCAATTCTCTTGGGAAAGAAATGCAGTTCTAGTAACTTCAACTTTATCACAGAATAAGAAGATTATAAAAAAACATAAATTCAAGAAAGTTTAAAGGACAAATGKGCAAATTTTGCAGTCATTCTACTAAACCAAACATCAATGCAATTGTAGATGTACAATAGCATCTATGAGAAAGGAATATACTTCAGTAGGTTATGGTTTATTAGCAAATACATTAATTAAGCATGGATGAAAAAAATTATATTTTCTAAAAGCACAGGGAGATAACAACCCTGATAAAAAATTATCTTTGCTTGTGCCAAAGAAACATGCAGGGCTACTCTTCAGTATTTCTCCACAGCTCAAGACTGGAGCTTCCAATGCATTTTCTTAGGTAGGACTTGGCCCACAGTACTGAGCAGTCAGCATAAATAGTCTGAATAGKTGCAGGTAATTCTAGTGAATGCCATTATCTTACATTAATATCACAGGGACAATTAATTTTTGTTCATTAATACTGCAATTTGCTGAGCTGAGTCCCCACCTCTCAGTAGATTCAAAAAGGAGCCAGGGAACTCTGTACCACAGAGAAGCAGCTCAGTGGTTTTGYAGCATCTGACCCACACTCAAGGGCAGCCAACTTTTTGGCATCAAAGAAGAAAACAGCAATTTTGATTTTGAGCCTGTTTCTGTCCAGCCGTTAAAACAAGTTCGTGAACAGAAAGAAGTAAGTTAAAACAAAAAGAAGTAATTTAGTAATGGTTTATGCAGAGAGATAGCTTCCASGTCATTAAGGAAGTTGTTCTTGGGAACTTGCCCTTTTCACGGATCTTTCCGCTTTAGTTCCAGGCTGAGATACAAAACAAATTTTGCCAAAGGGAAACATTCTCATTGTGCTTGTTACCTGTTGTTACCCTGAGTTTAGGCACAAAGTGTTTTGTCCTAAAAGCTTTCCATCTGCAAGTAATTAAGCTCAGGGCATTTCCATTCCCCCACGCTGTAAGAGTGCCATGAGAACTGTGGCAAAAGCACAGCACATTCAGTGATGGCTGCAGAATGTGCCAGACCTTCCCTGGAAGCAGCAATGGGAGGTAGCAGGAAGTGAACGTGCAATGATGGCCCAAAAATGTGGTAGGCTTAACATTTGGGGGGTGGGGAAAGGGAGAAAATCAAAGCAGCCACCTCAGGAGACTGATCTTCAGATCAACTTTGTTTCCAGTCCCATGAGCCAAAATCCACATGGTCAAAMAGCAAAAGCTGGCAATGACCAACACAAAGTCGTAGCTATGCCCTGCACTATAAAATCCTATCTTTATGGTATTGTACCTTTTAAATAACCACTGCACCTTTAAAAGCAGCAGCAGCAGGTTTACWCTGCATAGATGCAAGGCAGGTTTTTGATATTTCAAGGTGATCTACACTGGTATGGGAGCTGCTCAGCATGGCTGGGCTCTGGCCTCCACATCCATGTCCATCTCAGGATGGATAGGAAGGAGAGTCAGGAGCTCTCTGCAGGCACAAGTGTTGTCTGCATGAACCAGTGGCATATTTAACTCAAATGTCTTTCCATGTTCATGGATTGTTTTGCTTTGACCATCAAACTCGTGCAAAGAGAGGGAAAAAAAGCCTGAAATTTATTGTTAAGCCTCTATGTTTCATGCCTCTAAGTTGGCTTATTCTCAAAATGAAAGAACATTATCTCAAACCAGGCCAAAAACACCTTCGGCAAGAAAGGGAGATGGAAAATTTCAAKGAGTTTATTTTAAACACATTTCTGACTGAGCTGGAACAGAGGTTTGTGATGGAAGTCTCAACATATTCTTAATGGTATGTCTGATATCAGAGAAAGATACAGAACTGAGAATGGCCAGACAGCACCAATTAAACTTAAAATTAGGTTCAAACAGTTYCAAATTCTTTTTGCAATTTCCACCTGTACCCCCAAGGCTGTCCCATATACTTCTRCAATTCAAGAAACACGTGGAAATATGGAATGGAAATATGGRTATGGAAAACTTGATTTTCAATTATTTTCATATCGTTTCAGGTTTCCTACTCTGATAGTTTTGACCTAGCATTTAACTTTGGTCTTGCTGTGCTCTTCATGTAGGTTTTTATTAGTGATGACAGATTTGGTCACTATTAGAAATAGAAGAACATAAGAAGTTAACTGTCCCATAATTTATTTTAAAAAGTAAAACGCATAAGACTTAAATGCCTTTAAAGATCAAGTGAAAAGGCCAGAGAAACAAATGTAAAAATGAATTATTGAGATTCAAAGTAACAGAGGCACAGTTYCTCCCAGCCTCCTTTGCACCTGAAGTTAATTTGGGCAGGACATCTGCTGTGCTTACCGTGTCTAACATCTCCCGTGTATGTGCAGCTGACACACAAAACCGAGCTCTGGATTCTGTGATAGGAGTAGCTGGAAACCCAACCACGACCACCCCGATATTTCTTTCTAACATGCGTCTTGCAAAAGCCCTAAGGASAGAAGAAGAAGAAAAAAAAATCAAAAATAAGTTATCTCAAACAAACTGAGTGCAGAGAGAAAACATTCACATAAAATGCAACAATAGGTGAAATCCTGTCTTCAATTGATTGAATATTCCCATTGATTTYCATAAAAGCCAGAATTTTAACAGTAGGACTGAGATTCTTTGCTGCTTTGTGTGTCAAATAYTAGAAWTGTGATGGCAGAGAGGGCACTGCAGGAGAGTCAGGATTTATGTCAGTGAAGGTTTGAGTCCAAATCAAAACATGTGGGCATTCACAGTCCCTAAGCGTGGAGGAGGCTGGGCTTGTGGAAGGTACAAATGCTTGGATCCTGAACATCAACAGGAACAGAACATTCTGTGTGATGGTTATTACCTCTCACAATTACTCTGCCAGCTGGAAAGGTTTGTGTGGTGTCTGTGAGACCCAGAGCACCCTAAACTACCTGCAAATGCTCTCTGTAGCTCAACCCTTCTGTTGTGCTGCTGATGACTTCTGGTCTGTGCATCCACATCAGTGCACAACAGCCGCTTGAGAGGAACTGAATGGTTACACATTCACAGGCCATTCAAATTCAGATGGGAAAAAAAGGCATCCATCTAACCCAATTCATACATCAGGCAATGTGTCTCTTTTAACGATTACAAATTAAAAATAATCAAATTCAAAATGCTGTCAAAAGTATTACTCCAGACCCTGCTAAAAAAGGAAAAGAGAAAAATCTTAAAATTCTCAATTCTGGAACAACTCAAAATTAAATCCAGGGCAAATTTAAAAGAAAGCAGAGCTAAATGATGAATTCAACTAACAGTGCATGTTTCTCCTAAGAAGCATCTACCACACAGAAGAACATCTTCTGCAGTGTATACCAAATAACCTATGAACTTGAACAGAGTTTGTTTTGCCAGAGGTTTTTTTTTCAGTACTTACCCTATCTTACCAGGCATATAAAGCAGCAAGGGGACCACAGGAGAATCATCATTGCCATAAATGATGAAGCCCATTTCATGCAGTTTTCGTCTGAAGTATCTTGTGTTTTTCTCCAGCTGACGCACTCTTTGGAGCCCTGAAATGAGCCAGTCAGAAGAACAGTCAGTGCAAAGATCATAACTGGAGTCTGGTCACAGGCAAGAACCAGGGCTGACACTAACAGTTTGGCTGAAATGTAAATGKTGCTGTTTGATTGAGAAGAAAAAGATGGAATGAGCTAAACATAACTACATCAGTTATTCTGGAATTGTAGGACAGACAGCTGATACTCCTGGACTTGTGAGGTGCCTTCCCACTGGCAGAAACTGTCCCTGTCTGGKGACRGACACGTGGACAATTCCCTGGACTYTGCTGTGCTGAATAAAGCCTCCCAGGTTACACACACCTACACAGAAGTAGTGCAGACAGGACATGTAAATAGAGTATGTTCTTTCTCAACATAACTGATTATTATCCCTGCATTGTCCCTGGCCTCAATCCATCACGAATCCACGGGTGTGACCCCCAACAAAACTGTCAGGAGAGTCGAAAACAATTGTTTTCAGTGAAGGAAAAACAAAGAAAAAATGTGCTTGAAAAGACATTTCAGCCATGTCTTTTGCAGTGCCACTAAGGAGGTGCTTTCTGACAAATGCAATTGCTTCCCAACCCAGTGCATAAAGAGGGAAGAGCCACTCTCTGCATTACTGTAGTAGGGATATAACATGTCCTTTCACTGCTCCACCTGCATTATATTTAATCACTGAGTTGATCTATGTGCTGCTTTTCCACTGCTGTGAGGTGCTGACAGGGATGGTGCCACCTCCTCATGGTGCCCACATGCCTGCCAGTGCCATCCCAAGCTCACACAGCAAATGGAGCCAGGTCTGTCATCTGCCTGACCTCGCCAGAAACAGAACTGCCAATAAATACACTGTTCAGCAGATTGAGTCTCTAAAGCTATTTGCTGTTCAGCAGCTTGGGTCTGCCCAGCAGAGGCGGTGAGAACGTGTGGTAAGGTTGGGATTTAGCAGGGCACAGTTACACTCTTAACTTTCATTTTCCTGCTGTTCATCAGCCTATMCTTTCAACATCACTTACTTTATGTCACAAGACATGAACATTGAAACCTCCAGTACAACTCATTTCCTCTTTTCCCTTTGCCTTTGCACAGATGTGTTATGTTTTYGCTCTCCATTTMCATTTTCATTTTACTTTACATTTCATTCGCCCCAYTCTTCATTTACCACTTTCTGTTGTCACCATTCTCTGACTGGACACCTGTTCTGTAATTCCCCACCTTGCTCTGTGTAACCACAGTGGCCAGTAAGGCATTTGTAGCTTCTGCATGGCACCTTTGGCAGATTTGTCCTCAGACCACATTCTGCCCCACCATCTGCTCTGACTTTTCTGCCTTTTCCCTCTTGGCTGAAGTGAGGATCACCACACCTACACGAATCTCTTTTCCATTAATATTTCTGAACATGTGTAGGTTTTAAAAAGATCTACTACTTCATCTGTTCTGTATCCTCCCGAGTCAAGGTTCTGTCAGTGCTCTGGCTGGGAAATTTATAGGGAAACTGGGACTTGCTTCACAGTGATCGGTGTTTTGCTTGAACAAATTAAAAGATCTCATAAAAACAGTGCATTTGTAACTTTATGCACAAAACTGCCCACACAGACAACCTGTTACTTACAGTCCCAGTCATTCGGTTTAAAGCACTCAGTGGAAGAGATCTGCTGGGTTAGAAAAGGCCACAAATAGTTTAACCATCTCTCTAATGCTRCTAAAGCAAAAACAGCTGTGCCAGAGCAAGGAAAACAAATGAAACACAAAAGCATCCTACTACAAAGCTTTCCAGTCACTAATAAAAACAATAGTCTGTGGTATTTCCAAAAATATTTTTGGTGTAGTAGATCTCAAAGAAACAGGAGGAAATATTGGGGAGGAGGAGGAGAGGAGGGGAGATGATGGTAAGGAAAGGGAGTTAGAGAACTGCAGAATAATGTGGCTGAAGTCTGAAGAGAGACCTTTCCCCTTGTTAGAATTTGTGAAGATGTTGTTAGCACCTCCTCAATGTCCAAGTTCCAAGGAGGAGGGTGGGGGAATAACCTGAACTGGGGGCTCAAAGCCACTGCTGTTTCTTGCTATCTTAGCAGCCCCTGAGCTAGTTTCCAACCTCTCAGTTGGAGAGCATTTGAAACTACTAGATTTTCAATTAGGGAAAGTTTTCACAAATGCAGATGTTCTTGGCGAGTGCAGTTTAAGAACTTGCTGCCTTCTCTTTTCTATTCATGTGTTTACCACAGAGCTGGAAGCACAGTGTGAGCCACGCAAGATTCCAGGCTCTTCTGCTCGCTATTTATCAAACCAGATGCTCAGGGCCCAGAGTCAATCAGTTTGTCTCTACTTATTTTTGGTGCTGGAAATTTAGACTCCAAAGAAGGGGAATTCAGCTAAGGAAAYATGGGAGCTGAAAGAGGAGGTTCAGGCAACCCCCCAAAAGTCAAACACCTCTTCYTTTTCTAATCTTCCTCTCCTGATTCTAAATCCTTTGCCAGTTGAAGTGAGAGATCGCCTTTCAGGACTCCCTATGGAGCTMATTTCAAGCCAGCCAGTGCTGATGCAAAAGAGCCACTTGAATGTTTTAACAACATCCCAGAATACTTATTTCATTTGCAGGGATGCATTAAAGAGCCAAATAAAAGATCAGAGCACTCACATATATCTGGAGGGAGAAAAAGCACATTAGGAGACGATTGCTACACACTGTATTTGTGGGTGGGTGGCTGGGAGGAACCTATTKCTCTAGCAAGTGTCAACACTTTCCTTTCTCATGTTAAGTTTTGTGGTCAAAGACCACAGACACACATCATATACACAGRCTTCTTATATGCTGTCCCAGTAAGAGCAATAAAAACCTTAAAGTTTGTAGCTGTATTTCAACACTCATCCCTTTATTGGACCTTCCAATGTCAGATAAGGAGGCAGTTCTGAGCAAAATGTTTATTTTTGTCTCATTGGACCGATTTTGCCCCTACAGTGCAGTTTAAGAGTGATGAATTCAGTTTAGAATCAGGGTCTTCGTCCAAATTCACTGTGGTRTGTTTAATCAAAAACACCACTTTTAAAAAGTATTTTCTTTGATTCCTGAGGCTGTGATCTTGCATCCTTTAATATTTATTGAGTGAAAATCTGCAGAGCAGACCCTTGAGCTAAAAGAATAAGGCTGCATCTATGTAAGTGTAAGAATTTACCTGTATGRCATTAATTAGAGCATCAGGTCCCTAGACAGTAAATATATGTATTAAACAATTCTTACTTTGCAAAATCCCTGAGGATTTATGGTCTATGCAAAGAGCTTATAGCACAGCATGYAGCATATCCAGAGAGTTATATTCCATAAAATATGTGAACCACAAYACAGCATATGTTTGGAGAAAACAGCCTGGACTTTCCTCTGTTTCAAACTGAGCCCACTAATGCCCCAGAGTTTTCAGCTAATGCTGAGAATGACCTTATTAAGTGCTCTACATCATCTTATTGGCTGAATTAAGAAGGGACAGAAAAAGAGAAAAGTGAATGAYAAACAATTCTCAAATTTCAAAAATTATCTTCATACTGCTGGGAACGTATGCAGCTGGTTTATGGGGATTTTTTTGAAATACAGGATTAATTGCCTGGATGGTACAAGAAAAGYAGATTTACTGCATCAGCAATCCACCTTCTGCTGGCAAATTTAGAGTTTTCATTTGGTTGCACCACTTAAAAATATTTGGTTTACTGCAAACTTCTTAGGTGTCGGCAATTCTGGGAAAAATGCTGATTATATTTTTATTTGACACACATCGTTGCATACTGCTGGCTTCAGCCCATTAATTTCTGCAGRCTTTTAGAAAGCTTTATAGCTCAAAATTAATATGGTTTAGTTGAAAGAAAAACACAAAAAGAAGGCAAGAGGGAGAGAAACGGTAAAATGTAATAGTTTGCTCGAAATTTCTTTGAAGCAACAAGCTTCTTAAGAGGGGCACTTGGAGTCACAGACTTGGAATAAGCTTTGTCACACACTTTCAGGGCACCTGACACMAGGAAAGCATCCTGAATGCATCTTTGAGGGTCTGATCTCAGGTTGGCTTTGCCTGGCAGAGCTCCATGCACTTCAATAGAACTTTGCTGTTTATGCCAGCTGAGGATCTTATCCTGGCAGTGAGAGAGGCAATAAAACCATCAGCTTTCTAAAACAAAGGTTTGCTCTCCTCTTCCAGAGATGTCTGCTTTTGCCTCCTGCAAAGCGTTCATGAACAGAGAAGCCACCTGTGTTCAATTCCTGCACAAACATTCCACCCTTGAACTCTTCCTGCAGGTTTCTACCCTTGGAAGTTGTGACTTGGTCTATTGGAAAAAGGAATAAGGAACCTGTAGCCTTTCATATCAAGATCTCAGGTGTAGGAGGTGAAGGAGAGCTGTTTTCCTGAACTCATTCCAGGAAAGATAACCCCACACCAGGCTGKTTTTTTGGCATGTGGTGGACTCTTCAAGACAAAAATCCACCTGCTTTAATCTTCTCCAGCTGTTGTTTCACAGCATCTTTCTGGATGATTGGTTACACAATTGAACTTTTACATAGCAGTGTCAGCGTTCCTTGGATGGAGAACTCAACTCCCWGCCTTCCTCTACTAAAAAGAAGATAGGAAAAAGCAAACTTCCATAGGCTGAAAAAAAATTTGGAAAACAATAGCTCTTTCCCACTAAACTATTGCAGATGGACAGATTTTCATTTTTTTTCCTCTGGTTCCATTATAAGAGTAACACACATGTACCTCCATGTGCATTAAATCATAAATAGAATGCTATAAAACTGGGGTGCCTAAAGGAAATATGTTCTCAGATAAAAGAATCTTCATAAAAAAAGAACTTTGCTATGAACTAGGGAGAAGTGAAGACATTTACTTCTACAATCTAATGCTAACTAGAAACCTAGTTATTTCAACTTAATTCAGCTGCTAAATAAGCCCTTAAGGACTTATTTTAACTGTGAACTGCTGCAAAATGCTTTCCAGAGCAGATTAAGGGAAGAAAAATGRCAATTTCCGCTG